ATCCAGAACCCAAAAACAATCAATGAATGGATAAAGATGTGGTACATTTACACAGTGGAATATTACTCAGCTGTCAAAAATGACGAAATCATGAAATTATCAGGGAAGTGGATGGGACTAAAAAAGAATCATCTTGATGGAGGAAACTAAGACCCTGAAATATAAACATTATATGTGTTCATATATAAATAGACATCACCTATTACTTCAATGATAATCATGTTAAACAATCATATGCCACAGACCCAGACATGCTAAGTAACAAATTGTACTCTAAGTGTCAGACATGGATCTCCTTGGAAGGGGAAAATAGAATAGATTTTGTGAGTGAACAGGGGTGGGTGTGAATGCAATAAAGAGGGATAAGGTGTGTGGAGAGATGGAGTGACAGAGCATGGAGGGAAATGACATTTGGGGGGTTAAATGGAAACCTAGTCCAGTAGAGAACTCTCAGAGTTCTATAAGGGTGATCATGGTGAGGATTCCTAATAATGGAGTAATTAAAGCCTGATCCAGCCATCCTCTTTAATGAGGGAATGATTCTAGAATTGGGAATGTAGCACAAACGCAGCTACAAAGCCTTCAAATTATTATCTATCCTTGCTTGAAAGATGTGATGGGGCAAGATAGGTAGAGAACTTCTGGGAGTGGCCAGTCAGTGACAGATCTATCTTGAGGCCTATACTATGAAAGCAAGCCCAGTTTTGAGACGGCCTGGATCCAGGAACGAAAGGCTGGATATCTCAGAGATCTGGATAGACCCAGAGAGACATAAAAAATTAATAAAAATATTGTTAATTACATTCTTATTTACTCATAGATAGGTGCCTAGCCTAGTTGTCATCAAAAAGGCTTCTGTCTGAAGCTGATGGGAGCAGATCAAAAGACCGAAAGAGTTAGAAGAATAGTGCAAATTGTAGATCTTCCTAAGTCCTCCTGAGTTAGAGCTATGGGAACTCTGTGGAAGAGGAAGTATTCTAGAAATCAGATATTTCTAAGATACCAGGAAAACCCAGCCCACATACTTAAATGTAGAACTCATAGTGGTTTAAAAAGACTAATGTACCAATCACAGAAACTGCAAGAGCTGGTGCTATGTATATATATANCTTAGTGCTTTTATGGATTCCTAACAGCAGCACAGATACCGAGAGAAACAATTAATAAATGGGACCTTCTGAAACTTAAAAGCTTCTGTAAAGCAAAGGACACGGTCAACAAAACAACAACCTACAGAATGGGAAAGATCTTCACTAACCCCACATCAGACAAGGTCTGATCTCCAAAATATACAAAGAACTCAAGAAATTGATCATCAAAAGAACACATAATCAAATAAAAAATGGAGAACAGATTTAAACAGAGAACTCTCAACAGAGGAATCTAAAATGGCTGAAAGACACTTAAGGAAATGTTCAACATCCTTAGTCATCAGAGAAATGCAAATCCAAACAACTCTGAGATTCCATCTTGCACCTGTAAGAATGGCCAAGATAAAAAATCTGATGACAAGTTATGCTGGAGAGGTTGTGGGGAAAAGGGAACACTCCTGCACTGCTGGTGGGAATGCAAGCTGGTATGGCCCTTTTGGATGTTAGTGTGATGATTTCTGAGAAAATTAGGAAACAACCTTTTTCAAGACCCAGTAATACCACTTTTGGGTATATATCCACAGGATGCTCAATCGTGCCACAAGGACAAGTGCTCAGCTATGTTCATTGAAGCTTTGTTTGTCATAGCCAGAATCTGGGAACAACCTAAATTCCCCTCGACAGAATAATGGATAAGGAAAATTTGGTACGTTTATACAATAGAGTACTACACAGCAGAAACAAATAATGACATCTTGAATTTTGTAGAAAAATGGATGGAGCTAGAAAACATTATTTTGAGTGAGGTAACCCAGACACAGAAAGACAATTATCACATGTACTCACCCAAAGGTGGTTTTAAACATAAAGCAAAGAAAACCAGCCTACAAACCACAATCCCAGAGAATTTAGACTACAATGAGGACACTAAGAGAGACATACATAGATCTAATCTACATGGAAAGTAGAAAAGACAAGATCTCCTGAGTAAATTGGGAGCATGAGGACCTTGGGGGTGGGCTTAAGGGAGGAGGGGAAAGGCAGGGAGGGGAGCAGAGAAAAATGTAGATCTCAATAAAAATCAATAAAAAAACTGAACATTGATTGGAAACAGAGCAGTGTCTCTGGACGGATGGAACATACCTTGGCAATAGAAATATAAATTCTAATAACTTGCATCCTAATGAAAATTAAATATATATATATTATACTACAGTTTATTTAAATTTTTATTTCTATTTAGCTATTGAATCATACCTCATTTGCATATTAATCTTCTTGGTTATCTCAATGGCTGTCACTCCGAAATTAAAGAAATAAAAAGTATGGAGTTGGGGTGTATGTGTTGATATGTGTGTGCGTGTGTGTGTGTGTAGACAAATATCAGAAAGACAGAGAGTCAGAAAGGAGACATTTGTTGTTTGAAATTAACTCCATGTAGTTATGAATGTTTAAAAATCCACCAGAAATTATTACACCATTGACGTTTAATAGAAAAATACAACCTCAGTGAGATAAAATAATGGACTATGGAGGAGAACCAACAAAAACAAAGTATCAAAATGCCCTAACAAAAAGCACATTTATTGCACACAGTTTTAAAGTGTAGTAGAAATTGGGTCAGGATGTATTGTATGAGAGAAGAATTTATTTTCTATAAAAACAAAATAAAATATCCATTAAGAATAGAATGCTATTTCTTGAAAAATGTTATGGAATGTCTGCAAATGAGCATAAAGAGCCATTATAAATCTTCAATTTCAAAATCAATAATATTAATGCAGAAAATGTGTTCACATTAAAGTTACCAATGTGATTCCCTTGGGTCATTTAATTCTTTTTCCCCACAATGTCGGGGCAGAAACTGAAGGGACACTCCTAAGGGAAGTCTCCAGTGCTTGCTAGGTCTATATAATTTGCTCCAGATCTGCATACAGGAGTTTCTGAATCACAAATTTTATGCTATGATTTTGAAGGAAAGAAGTTCACATTTTACTTAGTTGTTCAATGTTTTTATTTCAGTGCTAATAATTAACCATGAAGCCTTCGGACCAGAGGATTAACTAGGACCCTCAACCATGGTGAGATAAAATACACAAAGATAAATATTATACTCTTATACTTTTAAATTCAAAGATAAGCTTTAGGTTGATATACTTTTAGATTGTTAACTTTGTCTTGAGATCTTCACTGATGTCTCTTAATTAGCCTGAAAGCTAGAATCTGTAAAATATGTGGCAAATGTGATGTTACTGATGAAGAAGAGAGAAATTATGGTCAACAAGGACATTAATACATGTTAAATCTAATTCTTTTTTTTTTTCTGCAGAGAACTGAGAACCTGTTGAATGCACCTAAGAGAGCATGTGTCTGTAATCACATTTAGGCTACATTATTTTGGTGATTTAATGTCAGATTGAGTGAGCTGTGTAAACAAATTTTCATTTTCAAGATACCTGTTAATGATGCATATACAGTAAGAAGTTTAATTCTGTCATTCAGGGACAAATGTACCAACTGTGACTTACTGAAACATGAAAATATTGTTTTCCATTGTTTCCACAAACAAGTCCTAACTGAGATATACCTACAGAAATTTTCACCATAGGTAATTTACTTAATGTCCTCATATACTGTGCACAGCTAAGGTTAAAACTGAGAGGAATAATACTGACAGATAAGTTCATGATGTATATTTAAAATATGTTTATCTATCATAAAAGGCTGTAAAATAAACAGCATAATACATATATGTAATGAAGAAAAGATTACGATCCTTGTTTAAATGTTAAAATGACCCTGAATAAATTAGGAGAGAGATCCTTTTTTTATCATTTTCTTTAAATTCCTATCATTGAGAGGAGACAGTGAATACACTCTAACTGTTGAATCAGTTCTTGGCAGGGGGCAAATGTGGAATTGTCAAGCTTTACTGAGTTTAGAAGTGAATTGAAAGATATATTTATTTGTTGTCTATTTATTAAATTGTTTAAAAACTAGTTTGCATATGAACAAAACATTTTTCTCTCTAATTTAAAATTTTCATGCAATATATTGTGATCATCTTTTTCTCTCCCCTTAACTCTTTCCGGACCCATCATTACGCCCCCCCCCCAACTTTATGTTTTCTCTATTTTTATCTTCCTCTAAAAAAACATACAAAGGGTAAACCAAAACAATTAAACAAAAAACCAAAAGGACACAAATGCTAAATTTATCCCCTAGTTAACAAAAATTATAGAAACCCGTGGAGTTCCTTTTGTAAAGCTCAACTACTCCTATTTATGGTAACTGTTCTGGAGTGTGGTTGAAATACTCAATAAGACTGTATTGAAAAATATGATTTTATCTTTGCCAGTGTGCATCGCTTACAGATAGCTACTTGGCTACAAGTTGTAGCATGTGTCTACTTTCCGCTCTCCATATTGAGGCCCATCTGACTTGAATTTATGCATGCTGACTTAGCCTCTGTGAGTTGACATGTGTATCAGTCCCGCTGAATCTGGAAGACGCTGTTTCCTTGGGGTCATACATTCTCTCTAACTCTTACAGTCTTTCCACACCCTCTTCTACGTAACCCTTTGAGCACTGTAAGGAGGAGTTTTGCTTGGGACATCCCATTTAGGATAAGGTGCTCCCAGGTCTTTCACTCTTTGCACACTGATGGAGACCACTTTTATATTGAATGTATTCTTCATCAGATCTCTTGATATTCAATAGCATGAGGTTAAATTTGTAGGTAACACATTAAATAGGCAGTTAAAGTCCAGACCTTTGTAAAAAAAAAATCTTTCCAGAGAAATTGTTAGCACAATGACTATGTCTTATGTTTATACTTATCAATTTCATGTTTATTATTATTGTATTATTTTTCTCTCTAATTTTCAGAGAGCATTCATAAGCAGTCAGATGATAATGAAGAACATGACAGAAGTAACACAGTTTCTCCTCACAGGACTCACCGATGCCCAAGGCCTTCAGCTTCCCCTCTTTATCACCTTCCTCATCATCTACACCTTCACCTTGGTGGGAAACTTGGGAATGTTCCTGTTGATTCTCTTGGACTCTCGGCTTCACACTCCCATGTATTTTTTCCTGGGTAATCTTTCTCTTGTTGATCTTGGTTACTCTTCAGCTATCACTCCCAAAGTCATGGCTGGGCTCCTAGTAGGAGACAAGATCATGTCTTACAATGACTGTGCTGCTCAGATGTTTTCTTTTGCAGCTTTTGCTACTGTGGAAAATTATCTGTTGGCCTCAATGGCCTATGATCGCTATGCAGCAGTGTGCAAGCCCCTACACTATGCCAGTAACATGACTACAGGTTTTTGTATAAGGCTGATTGCAGGGTGCTATGCCTGTGGCTTTTTGAGTGCCTGTATCTATACTGGAAACACACTCAGTCTCTCCTTTTGTAGTTCCCGTGTGATTCATCATTTTTTCTGTGATATGCCTGCAGTCATGGCTCTCTCTTGCTCTGATAGACATATTAATGAGTTGGTTCTTATTTGTCTAGCCAGCTTCACTATCTTTTTTGCTCTCACAATAATATTAGTATCCTACACTATAATTATTATAACGATATTAAAGATGCATTCAGGAGCAGGGTATCGGAAGGCTCTTTCCACCTGTGCCTCCCACTTCACTGCAGTTTTTATTTTCTATGGAACTATCATCTTCATGTATTTGCAGCCCAGCTCTAAGCATGCAATGGACACTGACAAAATTGTATCTGTGTTCTACACCATGATCATCCCTATGCTGAATCCTCTAGTTTACAGCTTGAGAAACAAAGAGGTCAAGAGTGCATTCATAAAAATGTTTCTAAAGGAAAAATAATCATTATGGTTACAACATTACATTTTTTGTGATATATAATGTTAAAATTCATTCTTGTCAGATCTTCTGATGTACTGTGTTGTATTTTAAACATAGTAGTTCAAGATCTGAGTTCTTATTCATGTATCTGGATATTATTTTGTCCTGGGAATCAAGGAATATCATATTTAAAAGCATAATTTTTAATTTTTAAGGTGATTTGTCAAACATTTTTTTTACTTTTATTGATATACTCAATTATTTCTCTTTCTGGTAGAGTGTGATAGTTAATCTTTACTATCAAATTGACTGCGTTTGTTATGTACATTAAAATATACCTTTCAGGATGTGAGCTACGATGTTTCCATGTTTGCTGTGTTTTGCTGCAGCAGCCTTAAGAATCTAATGCAAATCATTAGCTTATCTTTTCCTTTCAATTCAGATATTACTATGAGCTATACATTGGGAGGATTTAGCACTAATATTCCCTATCTCTGGAATTGTTTTTATTTGAATGTTTTTCATTACTAACTTGATTTCTGTATTTTTATCTTTTCTGAAGTTAATTTTGTTAATTTAATGCGCATACATTTATGAATTTATATTCTTTTCTGTTATTCAACAAGATGCTTTGTAGGTTGTTTGGAATATTCTGCTATAGAGTGATTTGCTCTTATTGCTTCTAACTCAGAATTTAATAGTTCAGATCATTAGATAAATGGTCTCAATAAAAAAAAAACTTAAAGAATATATTGTCTCACACGATCTGAAGAACACACAGGTGTTATGAACCTTTTGTTTTGAATGAAAGGACAGATGCAACAATTTATTCTTAACAATGGAAGAACTATGTCAATATGCTCCATACTATTGTATTTCCAGAAAATGCATTGAGATTGAAGACCTTTAAAAATTTCTTGAATTGACTTTCTACTTTATTTCTACACTTGTACATGGCATTGTGTGTGTCTTATTCATAAGTCTACTGAAGTTTTTTTCATATTTATCACCAAGTTAATTTATCAAACTTTCATAATGCAATAGAACTGTGCAATTTTTTTTTACATTGGGAAAATGATGAAGTTTTGTGAAACATAATCGCCCAAGTGTAAATGCTTAGTGGAGAAATCAAAATAACTTTTCCTAGTATTCCTTGACAAGAATGAAACAAATAATTTGTTATCAATATATCTGTGAAGCAAGTACAAGAATCAGTGGTAATTGCTAGAAAAATGAAGTTATAGCTCACATAATAGTACACCGCTGAGTAAACATGCCTAGCAATTCTTTGTTAAATTCCAAGGGCCATTGTGTTTCTGTAGAGGCTAATAGGATGAGTTCAATAATACATGAGAGGTGTTACATACCTATCCATCTTTTAAGACCTTAATTATGTCACCAACTTCTGCTATCTTCTAGGGATATTATATTGTTTATGCTTCAACACTTGCTATATAGATGCAGTTCTAGCAGCTTCCAGAAAAGTTATGTGAACAAGTTAATTATTACCTTTGCCTAGTGTAACTCTTTCAATTATGTGTTCTGAGACTTAGGAAATAACCATAAGGTAAGTTGTAGTCTTCAGATACAGAAGAAAACATGATGAGAGGAAATTGCAGTCATAAAACAATGAAGTAGGGCTAGGGTAAGAAATTTTCTCAAGACAACTTCTGGTGAAGCCCAGTTTGCTGTTGTGAAAAGACAGATTATATTTGATGATCATATCATGGGTGTATGCTGTATGACAGCTTTGGAACAGGGTTAAAGAATCAAGAGAGAGGTCAGAGATGTTTGCCAAAATTATACAGTGCTCAAAATTAACCAGGGCATCAGAAAAGGGATTGGAGGCAAGGCATTCCTAGAAACAATGTTTTCTCTGGTGGTAATTCAAACAAAATGTCCCATCCTTCTGGAATATGCATAAAGGATGTCAAAAACCAGCACTGAACTAATGAATTCTGATTGACAAGAGACAGACAATGTAACCCTTTGCTATTAGAAAAAGTCTTAGGAGAAACACATAGAACAAGTATTTTGGCAAACTTTGATAAATTATCAAGAACCAAAGCTAAAAATTTGAATAAATGGCAATGTAATTAAAGTTTTACTAGATACAGGCATAAATGAAACAATAACTATATCAACTTTTTGCATTTAGATTGGCCTTCTTCAGGAAATAAATATTCAACTTGTAGTGAATGAAACCTTATCTCAGGTAAAACAAATTAAAGGGGCGTTCAAATCATAAGGATAGGTAGGGAAATTAAAGCCATATGTAGCAAAGATAATAACGCAAGGATCTGACAACCCTCCACCAGCACAACTCAAAGAAGGGAAACACACAAACACTACCACCAGAAAAAAAAACTGGAGTTAACAACCACTGGTCATTAATATCACTTAATATCAATGGAATCAATTCACCTATTAAAAAGCACAGGTTAAGAGAGTGGATACGAACACAGGTTCCAACATTCTTCTGTTTACAAGAAACACACCTCAAACTCAAAGACAGACACTACCTCAGAGTAAAGGGTTGGAAAAAGGTTTTCCAATCAATTGGACCAAAGAAACAAGCAGGTGTTAATATCTAACAAAATTGATTTCAAACTAAACTCAATCAGAAAAGACAGACAAAGACACTTTATACTCAAAACAGGAACAATTTATCAGGAGGAAGTCACAATCCTAAATATCTACGCTCCTAATATAAAAGCACCCACATATGTAAAGTAAACATTACAAGAATTCAAAGCACCCATAAAACGCCACACTCTAATAGTAGGAGATTTCAACACTCCTCTCTCACCAATGGACAGGTCAACCAGACAGAAACTTAACAGAGAAATAAGAGAACTAACAGATGTAATGAACCAAATGGTCTTAACAGGCATCTATAGAACATTCCATTCAAACAGAAAATAATATACCTTCTCAGAATCTCATGGATCCTTCTCAAAAATTGATCACATAATTGGTAACAAAGCAAACATACATAGATACAAAGAAATTGTAGTAACCACCTGTGTACTATTGCATCACCATGGAATAAAGTTAGAATTCAACAACAATTCTAAGCCCACAAAGCCTACACTCTCATGGAAACTTAACAGTCAACTACTGAACCACCCCTGGGTCAAGGAAGAAATAAAGAAAGAAATTAAAGTCTTCCTTGAATTAAATGAAAATAAAAACACAACATACTCAAACCTATGGGACACTATGAAAGCAGTGCTAAGAGGAAAGTTCATAGCACTAAGTGCCCATATAAAGAAAACAGAGAAAGCACACATTAGAGACTTAACAGCACACCTGAAAGCTCTAGAAAAAAAAAGAAGCAGATTCACCCAGGAGGAGTAGAAGACTGGAAATAATCAAACTGAGTGCTGAAATCAACAAAATAGAAAGACAGAAAAACAATCCAAAGAAACAATGAAACAAGAAGCTGGTTCTTGGAGAAAATCAACAAGACTGACAAACCCCTATCCAAACTAATCAAAGGAGGAGAGAGAACACACAAATTAACAAGATCAGAAATGAAAGGGGAGATATAACCACAGACACAAAAGAAATTCAAACAATGTACTATTGGGCACAAGGTTTATTATAGATAAAAATAATGTATTATGTTTTTGGAAAGACCAGAAGAAATGTAAAATAAATGCTAGAAGGGTAATTTTGAAAGTTTTTATTATGAAGAAACGGTATTCTTAACTTTTATAATATACATCATGTATAGAGACATTGCATGGTATCTAATTAATATGTACAGATTTTGTGTTTTTATTTATCCATTTTTTTTAAAAAGTTACCTTCTAAGACACAGAAACCAGTTTGGTCTCCTAGGCCCGTTAATTACGCTTCCCTAAGAAGACAGGATGAGGATCTTCAGATTCACTCTGGGGGACCTCTCCAGAGGTCTGTGCGTGTCTATAATTCTCTCTACATCTCTATGCACTGGCCTCTGAAATCCCAATGTGGCACACCAAGGGACATATTGCATAGTTTTATCCATTAGAAGCTATTTATTTTCTAAATGGTAGACATTGTTAACACATGCAGCCCTTTTAACTAACCTGAAAATCAGCTATGGGCCTTCAAGTAAGGGGAGGAAAAATTCAAAGATAAGCATCCTACTGATTAACTATTATCTGGCAAAATCTTCATGGGTTTCCTTACAGACTTCTGTTTTTTATATACAGATACAACCTGTGAACTCTGGGAGAGAACAATCGTGTCTTGTTTCTTGTAGTATGTATTCCTAATAAGGAGGTAAGTGACTCTTCCAAGGGAATGGGAGAAATGCATGCTGAATTCAGAACTTGGTCTGTGCAGAAGTTCTGTCCTCCCATCTTTCTTTAGATAAGACTAAAATACTGATCACTCTCTAGCATGCTCCTATAAGAGGATTTGTGAAATATTGCATAGTGGATTTTTAATGTTTTAGAGTGACCATACCATATAAAATACATCCCTACTAGAAACTGGTCACCTACATTGCATAACCATAATAGTGAGAAGTAAAATTCCCAGAAAAGCAGTGGTCCGTGTATAGTTACTTTGAGTTTCTTGACAACAGTTGTTTAAAAAAAGTTTTGAGGGATAAAACAGTTCAGATTACTGTTATAATATACATATAAAGGTTACTCTTATAAAACCAATTTGGAAATGTAGAATCTAGACAAAGATGTCAAAATACTACTAGAGATTTAATTATTCATATAATAAGTTTTTTTCTTAGAAGGAATATGAAATGTAATTTTGCTGTTGTAATTTTATTTTGTTCACTGTATGTTTGATTTACTTGGAGATATAAAAATCACAAAAGACCCAAACATACCTGAAAGACAAAATAATCTTTCTTTACACTGATGTATCCTTAGAAATAAATGAATATTCTCTCAACCACATCTCAACACTTATGCCATGAGGTCAGGCTCATTGTTGGATGCAATCTTAACTTCTGCACTTTGAGTGTTTTTTTTATATTGCTTCAAAAATTGAGATTCCTATGTAAATAATTAGATATTAAGTTGTCCTACTAATAAAGTAAGAAATAATACTTCAAATTACAATTTATGCACACACTCCATTTGTAAATATTATGTCAAGCACTGAGAATTATCATATGATGTAAAATTAGCAACTAAAATATTTCTATGGTATATGTAGATAATTAAAGTGACCCAAAATATCAAGAAAATGATTATAGGAAATAACAGAGTAGATATCCTTCCAAATATGCCAAGCAAAACAAGAAAGTTTAAGTATCCTTAGACTATAAGAACATTTATGAAATAACATGAAGCCCAGAAATTGGAAGTTTGGTTTCCAGAGTCTCTGTTATTGTTGTGGGATAATATGCTGAGAAAGTAAAATTAAAATTTAGAAAAGAGAAATATTTTGTCTCAAATAATGAGTTATAAGATGGAAAACTTTGAAATTTAGAATAAAAACAAACCAAGATTCATGAGAAGACACAGGCACAGGGGCCCCAAATGTAGAAATGCTAGTTCGGATGGAGAATTTTCAAGACTTAATGATAACTAACGTTCTTCATGCTATTATCACATAGTAATGACAACAAGATTAGTAGTGAGGCATGTTTAACAGCCAGTATACTACTTTATTTTCACAATAACCCTCATTACTGTCTTAATTTTATGGATGACAATGTGGTTTTTAGAAGAGTTAAGTTCCTTTTAGGATGTCTGGATGATCTGTTATTTATATCTTTCAAGAACTTTAGTTTCTCTGTGTTTTAATTAATGATAATTTTCATTCCAAACTGCTTATGTGATTGAATAGGATCCTCAAATACTTTTAAGCTCAACAAATCTAGTATATAAAATATTGAACAATATTTACTCAAGATAAAACCTTCTTTGAGCTAATCATGACTTCATGTTTCTGGGTATATCCTTATTAGTGCACTAGTTGTGCTGTATTGAAATCATGAGAATATAAGTGGAAAGAATTGAAATGCACTTTAATCTCATTAGTTCATTAACAACCTTCTAGTATTCAGTAAAAAACATTTCACATTTAGGGATTACCCGTTTGCTTGATCATTAATGAGAACAGTTATAACTGTGACCAAGATGAAATTACCACACACTGTACCACTCAGTTCACGGCGGTTAAACAAAAGAATACAATTATTCATTGCAATTAAGATATATTAGTTTATATCATTAGATTGCAATGAGTGAAAAGTTTGCCCAGCTCCAGAACAGAAACTTCTAATTATGTTATTTAAATGTGCACAAAATTTCTATCTCGTGTGCCTCAAAATTTACTTGTATGTAATACATTATCAAAGTCATTATGCTATTGTCAGAGAACAGGCTGATTCTATAGTAGCTTTTGGTAGAGACACACAATTTAGTTTAATAGAGGCCAGAAAATGTGAACTGGCACATAGATATATTTAAAAAAAATCTTAAACAGTTGCAAAACTGTCTGCATGTAGATAACAAATATGTGTACTTTTTATTTTTGATAGAAAATCAGTTAAGATTCCACAGATATCAATTCGTTTATTTACCCTATTCTTAAAAGTTTAAGAAATATTAATCGTAGGTCTGGAGATATGGCTCAGAGGTTAGGAGCACTAGCTACTGAGTTCAATTTTCAGCAACCACATAGTGTTTCACAACCATCTATAATGGGGTTGGTTGACCTCTTGTTATGTGTATGAAGACAGAGCACTTATGTACATAAAAACACATAGATAAATTAGTGTTGGCAAAAAATCTTAAAAATTAACCCTATGTGTATGAGTGATTTACTTCCATGTATGTCTGTGCATAATGTGTGCCTCACGCTTATGGAGGCTGTAAGACAATGTTAGATCTCCTGGTACTGAAGGCACACATAGTTGTGAGCTGAGCTGCCATGTATATGCTGAGTCTATTGGAACAGAAAATCAGTGCTTCTACCTGCTTAGCCATCTCTCCAGACACTTATCCTATATTTTTGAAATATTGTTTAAGGTCTTCTGTTGGTTAAATGATATCATCAATGGAGAACAGAACAGAAGTGATACGGTTCATCTTGTTGGGACTCACCGATAACCCACATCTGCAGCTTCCTCTCATCACCACCTTCCTTCTTATCTACACCATCACCCTGGTTGGAAACCTGGGGATGTTTCTGTTGATTCTTTTGGACTCTCGGCTTCACACACCCATGTACATTTTTCTCAGTAATTTGTCCTTAGTGGACTTTTGTTACTTTTCCACAATTACTCCAAAGGTCATAGCTGGATTCCTTACAAGAGACAAGATCATGTCCTACAATGCCTGTGCCTCTCAGATGTTCTTTTTTTCAACATTTGCCAATGTGGAGAACTACCTTTTAGTCTCAATGGCCTATGACCGCTATGTAGCAGTGTGTAAGCCCCTACACTATGCCACCAACATGACAACTAGTGTGTGTACATGTCTCATCATTGGCTGTTATATCTGTGGTATCTTGACTGCTTCCATCTGCACTGTGGATGCATTAAGTCTCTCTTTCTGTGAGTCCAATGTGGTCCACCATTTTTTCTGTGATGTTCTAGCAGTTATGACTGTGTCTTGTTCTGAAAGACGTGTCAATGAGCTAGTTCTTATTTATGCAGCCAGTCTCAATATCTTTTGTGCTCTTATATTCATCTTAATATCCTACACGTTCATTTTCACAAATATACTACAGATGCACTCTGCTACAGGATATCGCAAAGCTCTCTCTACTTGTGCCTCCCATTTCACAGCTGTCTCCATTTTCTATGGGACAGTTACATTCATGTATGTGCAGCCCAGCTCTAGTCACTCCATGGACATAGACAAAATTTCATCTGTGTTTTACACCATGGTCATTCCTATGTTGAACCCTCTTGTCTACAGCTTAAGAAATAAGGAGGTAAGGAGTGCATTCACAAAGATTGTATTAAAATCAAAATAATCTTTATAGCTATGATTTTAACGTCTTCAGTTACAAAACTTCTTAATTCATTCCTTTCATCTTAACATTTACACCAAATCCCATTTACCTACCCTTCACTGCATTCAAGAACTTGAAGTGACAGTTTTGCCTCAGTAATAATGTGTTGGCTGTCAAAAACATAACAACTTTTTCGTAAGAGTGAAACCCAAATAAAATGTTTAAGATAACATTATGTCAAGTTGATGAAAAAATAATTGACTTTATTATCATATTCATTCATTTTTATTCAACACTCCTTCTGTAACATCAACACATCAATGTAATAAATTACACAAAGTAACCCATTGAGTAGAATACATACTCATGCATGTATTGTGAAAACTCATACAATTGGGGGTCAGAAATGTAGCATGGATTTGTTATGTGTCTACTTTTGTGTTCATTTAATTGTGCTCAACCCATAGGGACATTCAGATGACCATAGCTAAAATTTTATGTAATGACTAGAATATGAAGATATATTGTAAAAAGAGCTACTTGAAACAAGCAGACTTAGTTTTAACAACATCAGTTCTCATTGTTATTTAATCCATTGAGTGTTCTCCTGTATAGAGTCAAAAGTCATGGAAAAGGAAGCTACCTCATTCTTTAAATTAGTTAACGAGTGTTATTTATCCCACTTTCTTCTACTTTACCCTCTCATTTTCCTAAGCATAGCTACAGCCAAGAATCGTACCCAGGGGTGATGCCTCTGAATCACATTGCATAGTAACCCTATAAAGGCAGAAAAAAACATGTGTAGCATTTTTTGCAGATGTATTCGGTTCCACTTCCCATTGCACATAGAAGACTGCAGATGGCCACCCTTACTGTGAACTTATTCCCACATAAATTAATCTTTGTTATACTCCATTCTGTGCTCTTGTGGAGCTCTTTGGTATAACTACATAAACCTAGATAATCAGTTAATTGTTATTGGAAGAAAGCTTGCAAGCTCTAATGTACTAAACCAGCATAATTCCTAAGAACGATCTGTAGACATTTGCTGTTATACCCCTGGATAAGTGTGGAAATCTAATTGCTTATAACCAAATGAAAGCATATAAGATAAAAAGAAGATACTTAAGTGGGAGGATATCTTGTGTTGCTCCTAAAGGCTATTGAGTTACAAAAATCTCAGTGTTGACTGTAAAATATTGACTTGTTAAATGTTGGTGTATAAGTCTGTAGAGGCCTTAAAACAATGCAGAGACTTGTAATTTCTCTTGGTTACTCAGTGTAAATAGTTCATAAGACCTTATAGCTGAAGGCAGCATTCACATTTGTTGCAAGTTATTAAGAAATTAGCCTGGAACTGAGATTTAACAATTCCAGAAGGTGCCAAAAGGTTTATGCAGATTGTTAAGAGGAAAACGTCTTCAATGGTTTTCCCCCATGTGTGAAGTTTATAAATTACAATACCAGTCTCTCAGAACAGTTGGAATCATTAGCACAACAGTAGATTGACTGTTATGGAAATAGCTAACAGTCCTCTGTATTTGAAGCCTAGTATATAAGAGGAAATTCATGAGTACTACTGCCACTAAAAAGGAAAAAAAAATATGACTGAGGAAGTCCTGTACCATGGGAATTGGGGTCAAGGGTCCTACTACTGTTGCTTAGCTAAATGGAAGTGCTGGCAAAATGCTTTCTAAATATTTATGTTTATATCAGTAGAAAAATTATATACCTTAGTTTTAACCATATAAAAATGCTATTCTCAGCTTTAATAAGAGGATATTTTTTGCTATGGTGGTGAGAAAGGAAACACTTGGCTGCTCAACTTGTTAAGAATAAGTAACATTATGTTTTCAGTGATAAAGGGGGCATTCATGCAACTCAATCAAAGGATCAGAGAGCATCACAGAGGAGGAGGTGACGGAAAGTAAGTGAGTGCCAGAAAATAGTGAAATGGCTGCAAATTGTCATCAGGATATGACACAGCCATTGCAATGGTGCAGCTGCAACTTCCTGAACTTGATTGCACTGAATTGGGCTTCTGTAAGTCAGTATGGCTAGAGGGAAAGCTTGCAAGATTCTATACATCCCAGAACTATTGGCCATTGCTTGATTCTGGAGGAGAGACAGTCATAGCCTCAGTTGTGGACACACGGATTGGTCTACCAGGTACCTATGGATAGTTCCAAACCAAAAGCCACATACATAGTCATTATAAAACTCAATGAGTCCATGAGGTCATGAGAGTGAGAAATTTATTGGAGGACAGAATGTGGAAGGAAAATAATTAGAATATGGTGAGAATAACAAGAATGCATAATATATGAGTGAGATTATTAAAGGATAAAAGTAACAGTTATAAGAAAGAAAAGAAGGATATCATGAGAGTTTCATTAAGACAATTTCTATAGGAATATAATGTATGTTGCTCAGATTCACTGATCAGTGCTTGACTTTTGAATTTTAGCTTCGTATAAGACAATAATGTGCTATAAGAAGGGTAGGTGCTTTACTAGTTACAGAAATGATATGCTTATTGTATAAGAGAAGTAATTGTACCATGCTTATTTTACCAATAATTAGGAAGTAAGTAATTCTTCCCAGAGCAATGAAATTCAAAGAATTCATGTTGACTTGACTCTTGATCCACAACTTGTATTTCTTCTGCCACTTTTCTTTGTATTAGAGAAGCGGGGCTCCTACAATAAAATTATGGCAATATTGCATAGTAAATTTTCTGACTTCCTTGTGCATGATGATAGATATGAGTCTATTTGCAATCTTTTACATGTTGGCATCCAGTTATGCCAGCATCATTTGTTAATGATGTTTTCCTTTTTCCATTGTACTATTTTGGTTTCCTTGTCAAAAATCAGGTGTTCATAGTTATGTGAATAAATGGTAGATCGTCTGTTTGGTTCATTTGGTCCTTGTGTCTGTTTTTAATGACAGCACCAAGCCATTTTTATTACTATTACTCTATAATAGAGTTTGAAGTCAGGGATGATGATGCCCCACAAAGTTTATTTATTGTGCAGGATTTCTTTAGATATTCTGTTGTTTTTGATTTTTCCATGTAAAGTTTAGTATTATTATTTCAAGGTTTGTGAAGAAGTGTGTGGGGATTTTGATGGGATTGTATTGAATCTGTAGATTACTTTTGGTAAGAACCTTCATCCAATAACTGAAGGAACAAGATGCAGAGAACTACAACCAAGCCCCAGGCTGAGTTCTGGGAATCCAGTTGACAAGAGGGAGGAGAGAATATATGAGCAAAGGAGGTTAAGATCACAATGGAGAAATCTACAGAGACAGCTGAACCAAGTTTGTTGAAAATCAAACTACAGACCAACAGCTGTGGAGCCTCCATGGGACTAAGCTAGGCCCTCCATATGTAAGAGACAGTGGTGAAGTACAAACTATGAGGGCCCCCCTAGTGGTAGGACCTGGATCTACCCCTGGTGCATGAGGTAGCTTGTTGGATCACATTCCCTATGGTAGGATGCCATACTCAGTCTTAATGCAGAGGAGGGCTTGGTCCTGCCTTAACTTAATGTGCCAGACTATGTTGATGCCCTATTAGAGCACTTAACCATTGAGAGGAGTGGATGAGAGGTGGGCTGGGAGTGGGGGCTAAGCATGGGGTAGAGGAGGGGTAAGAGGAAAACTGACTGGAATGTAAAATGAAATAAAATAATACATTATTAAAACAAGGGATAAAGGGATTTGAGCCAGCCTTGTTACTGGAACTCAATCGTTTCTATTTTTTAAATTTTTATTTTTATTTGATTATTTTCTTTACAAACAAACCCCAGGTTTCCCTAGATACCCCTCTCTCACTCCCCCTTTCCTGTCCCCATCCACTCATCAGAGGTATAAGGCCTCCTTTGGGGAGTCAACAAAGTCTGGCATACCACGTTGAGGCAGACGGGTATCAATGCTGACCAAGGTGTACCACCATAGCAAATGGGCACCAAAAAATTCAGTTCATGCACCTGATATAAGTCCTTGTCCCACCCCTGAGTATGTGGGAATGGGGCAAGAAGGGAGAGAATGGTGGATGGGAACATGAGGGATACAGAAGACCAAGTTTAGAGAGGAATGGAGGGGGGGAACAATGAATGAGATATCTTGATAGAGGGAGCCATTATAGGTTTAGGAAGAAAACTGGTGCTAGGGAAATTTCCTGGAATCCACAAGGATGACCCAGCTAAGACTCCTAGCAACAGTGGAGAGGGTGCCTGAATGGGCCTTACTCTATAATCAAATTATTGACTACTCTAATTGTCATCATAGAACCTTTATTCAGTTACTCATGGAAGCAGGTGCAATGATCATCAGTCAAGTACTGGGCTGAGCTCCTAGAAGTCAGCTGAGAGAGGGAGGAGGGATCCTATCAGCAATCAGGATCAAGCTCAACTGTTTTTCTTAATTGACTCGAGCTACAGTCTATGCAGTTTCTTAAGTGAAACTCATAGATCCTACGTGTGTGGCATTTCTTTCTATTTTTTATTCATCAAAGCTCTATATAAGCTAGGGTTATTTTTATCAATTAGACAGTACTGCTTAGGGAGGAATCATCATTATAATAATCACAGGTAAAAATGCACAATAGACTGGGATGTTTCCATAAGATAAGCACACTACACTACAGGCAGTAGGGGTCTCCCCACATCCATTCACACCATGCCAGATGCCAGAGAAAGGTCACAGCAGCAAGCATGTAAAGCACAGAAAAATCATTTTGTGGTCTGTGCTCTTAGAGCCTTGCTAAACCAAGATTGACCCATCAGAGAGTTTCATTCTGGATTGCAGATGCCTTGAACTCAATTGCCATCTGCTGCTTTTCTGACATGGCCAACAAGAGTAAAAGAAATATGTGGAGAAGTTCATGAAATGAACAAATTTAAGCAGGTCTACCAATGACAGATACAGGGACATGATAAATTTTTAGTACAATATAGCTAATGTAGAGGTTATTTTGTGTATTGAATTGACTGTTTTACTGGATGGCCAGTTAG